ATTTCAAAAATGATAGATCAATCTAAAACAAATTCATGAAAGTTTGCAAGTTCAAAGGGCTTTCTAACATTAATATGACAAAACATTAAATGTTGAGCTTAAGCTATAACAGACACCAAAAAGTAGAATGAGACAAAGGCAAAAAAAAAAAAAAACTAAGTGAAACACAATTGATAAAAGATTGGATTTTTTGTAAAGTAAAACAGCAGTTGACAAATATTACAGAGAACAAAACAAGCAATAATACCATATATACAAATTTAAAAGAAAATTGTAGAGCAATAAATATGAAAATCAAAATAAAATTTTCTAGCTGGATTTTCTAAGTATAAAACATTTTAAAAACTTGACTCTCTAAGAGGTAGAAAGTCTAAAACACGATAAAGTAAAACTTGTAAAACACGATAAAGTAAAACTTGTGTACTCTGTCATTTATTATACATATATATACATATACTTCCATGTCATTGATATAGGTACATATAAAGATATACTATATATAGATATAGTATATAGGTAGATAGATACTACATACATACACTATATATATAGATACTATATACATACACACACACACATATATATATAAATCCTAAATTCTACGTCTAATTTTAGTATTTTAAATTTGGAAATATGTTGAGAAGAAAACACTATGACAAATTGGGTTTTACCAGAAACTAAAAGCTAAAATAATATAGTATCATTGTATGAACAGAGGTTTGTGAACGACATGTACCTAAGTTTAAATGCCAACTTCAACACATACTATGGGTAAATATGACTTTGTTTCTCTAAACTCTGCTATAATACGAAAGTAAAGGAAAAAACCTATAATCTAAGCTACTATGGAGGCTGAGGCAGGAGGATTAAAAGTTCAAAGCCAATCTGTGCAATTTAGGAAGATCCTATTTCAATTAAAACTTCGAAAAGTGGCTAGAAGCTCAACGGTAAAGCACTTGTCAGCATGCAGTAGAAACGTCAATCCTCCGGGCCAGAAAATGCAAAGAAGGAAGGAGGAAGGCAGGAAAGAAAGGAAAAAGGATTCTTCGTAAGGTGCATGCAAAATTTAAGTGAAAAAACTGTCCAATAATCCTAGTACATAGTAGAATATTCATGTATACTAATCTAGTACAATTACTGTTGTTATTTTATTGCCATAAAATGTATCATTCTTTGTGAAATACGTCTGCTACAATTTACATCTAAATCTGATTTAACATTTAGAAAACTTACTGTATGAGTAAATTTCTGTATCACAATAAAAGGATACATAAAAGAAAGATCAATCCTTGGAGTAGTCTGTAATCTTAGCTAAACCAGGATAATAAATTTAAAAAAGGGGTATAAATAATCACAATAAAGAAGTCAAAATGATACACTAAAGAAAATGCTTAAAAGCATGTATTAGAACGGATGAGAATTCATTAAGAAGGCTGTATATAATGTTATTATAAAAATCAAAATTAAGTGAGAAAGGGAAGGAAGAAGCAGGGGGAACTGTACCTTTCTGATCAAATTAAGTGTTACCCATATAACCAAACATTTCATAATAAAATATAGACCTTTTATGTAACATTTAAGTAATGTTGACTGCCAAATGCTGTATTACATATTTTTATTCTTAGATATCTAAATTAGAAAATACACGTTATTTTAACTAAGAAATTTTCCCAGTTTGTATTGTTTTGTAAATTTTAACACTGAAATTGGTTAATTTGTGACCTCCTCCCACCTAATTCCCATTATTCACGTAAGTGAAAGTTAACTATATAGATCTGTAAGATTCCTCTGCCCTTGCTATTTACAATTTTTTGTCCTCCCTATACAGAATAAACACTTGCCTAGTTCCAGTAAACACTCAAATCCAAAGAAGCTGTACTTGTCAAATTATTCCAGTTTTAAGGCTTCAAAAGATTTAGAAGTGTTTAATGACGTGCCCAAGGTCAAGGAAAGGTGGTTTAGATGAAACTCACATTCTGTCTTTTCACTGCCACGTGCTTATTTTCCTAGCATGAATACAGTTCAAGTTTTCATTATGGCTCAATATTAAATCATTCACTCATTCTTTATCAAATATTTGCTGAGCCCTACCACGTACAAACAACAGTTAAACAATATAGGCAAAGTACCCTATATAGAGAACTTAATACTTCATTCCATCAGAAGGCTGCCTTAATGTAAACAATCCCCTTACTTTAACAAGGTAAACTGTTTCCTGGGGAAACCTTTTAACGCTGTCCTAAAGAATCCTCATTTAGAAAAAAAAAAAAAAAAAAATCCTCATTTGGAGTTTTATGTATTAAATTTCTGAGACTCTAGCATCCTATACTTAGGTAAAATCAAGTACAAAGGCTGAAGATATATTACAAGACCAAAATTACCTTAGGACTTAACTGTACTTAATCTGCTGCCAAGTCTACCTCACCTGTAATACCTAAAACAGAAAAGTCGCTCCAAGTAGTTTTACTACAGCTCATCGCATGGCTGGGCCAAACTTCAGCAATCAAACAAAAAACACCTGAAGGAGAAAAATGAGCCCTTGCTCTTAAATTTAAAAGTGTTATGTAATCTTGCTTTTTTTAAATTATTAATCCTACGCCACTCTACAGTGAAAGAAAAAACTTCTTTGAAAATATCAGGAAGCTTTCCAAACACATTTAAAAATGTGTAAGTGCAAAAAGAAGGAAGAAGAAAAAAATAATTATAAGAAGAGAAAAATGGAAACAAAGTTTTGTAAATAAGGAGTGGAGGAGGGGTTAAAGGGAGGGTAGGGATGTGGGAAAAGAATCAAGTTGTATTATATACAGGTACAAATTCCCTATAATGAATGTGATCATTATGTATACCAAAAATGTACCGATGAACTCAATTAATAAAAAATAAAAATGGACACTTACAGACACAAATTAAAAAATAAAAAAGCACACTTACAGACACACACACATTTTCAAAGAATAGCAAAAAACCAGGTAAACTTTTAGCTATTCAGCATGCATTAGACACCTCTCCTTTTAACTGATAATGCTTTAAGTTTCTAAGTGAAGGAGTTTCACTTTTGTTTCTTCTAAAGTGTGAAGTTCACTTCCTGGTTAGCAGCTTGAATCTACTTCCTACTTCCTACTTCCTACTGGATGCATTTAAATCTGTCAACTTAGCTGAGGTAGTTGGTTTTGGGTATTTATAACCCTTTGAATATTAACAGTTCTAATATGGGTAACAGAATAATAGCGCATTAACAGAAAACACATTTCAGCATTTTTGAAAATGCTTTTTTAGAAAAACACAAAAAAAGTAATGATGGAAATATAAAAGTAATTACATGCTCTAAAAATTTCCCAATATCAATGAAACAACCTAAGGCACACACATACATAGTAAAACTAACACCACTGTGGTAATATTTTGTATTAAAAATGCTCTCTGTGTAAGAAGGGGCCTCATTAAACTAGCCAATTCGGCTTTATGACCAAGATCAGTTTCGGTAATTTGATTCTTGATCCTCTGAACTACGCAACAGTTAGTACTATTGGACTCTATCCTAAAGAAACGGGTAAGTCAAAAATCAATCTGCAAAACTCAGAAACTTCTTGCCATTTTTCAAACTTCTTCATCTTTAGGAGGTGTGAATTAATGAGCTACCTTTCACACTTTGAAATTGGCTTAAATATTCCAATTGTAAACAAAACGCTACCAAGTCTTTTAACTACTGCTTAGTATTCACAGGACATGATGATTCGTAAGTCTTAATTCTATAATGTACTCAATGTCAAACACTGAACACTAAGGTGTTTAAGGCACAATACACACAGGATTAGGAAGTAAACTACTTCAAACCCCCATTATTAAATCCTGAACTATTTCTCTGTAATAAATCGCACTCTGCAAATAAACTTAACATACCAGTAACATCAACGAACAAAAGTTTCAAAAGCAAACTTTCCCAAAGTGCCAAAAATATTCACTGTCCCTGCTTTCCAAAATTCTTGACCATTTTCAATTACTTCAAGTAGTATAAAATTTTAAAAACGGTCTCAATGCAAAAAGTAATCAGGTTGTTGGTCTACAATCCATTCTAGTACGACACGCTGCATTCTAAAGTCAAGCACAGGTACACGACAACGTTATGCCAAAACTACAACAGGGTGGGGCATGCATTACTCACCCACACGCACCACACAGAAAACTGTAGTTTGGCGGCTATTCACAACGGATCTAATTACCCCCCCCCCAAATTCCAGCACGACAAAGACACTATTTCTCTTTTGCTCAAAATCCTGTTCACACAAATTGGAAAATTAAAAAAAAAAAAAATTAAGTCATGGCCACCTACTCTTCAGAGTGTGATGCAAGCCATGATAACGCACTTAAGATTCTGAAAGAAAGGTGATCTTTCAGTATTCACACCGTAAGGATCTGACGGTTCATAAACTCTTTTACATTTTTTGCAAGAAGTGAATGTCCATTTAAATGCACGACTGGTGCAAGAGCAAAGGGTGAACGACTGAACAAGGTCAAAGTTAGGGGACAAAAGATTCTTGGAATAACATAGCCAGAAAGATTACCGTTCCTAAGGGTTTCTATATTAAGAAAGAGAGAAAGAGAGAAGGAGAGAGAGAGGGGGAGAGGGAGAGCGCGAGCGCGCCAGCCAGCCGCGTACGTGCACCTAGAAACTCCAACTGACCAAGGTACCTGCCTAAAAAGGAGGCGATCAGTTTCGGTGGGGATCTTTTCGCAGAAGCGCAGGCCTGGAACACGACCCCCTTTGCAACCTAAACTGGATTCAAATGGGTAACAGCTGGCACCCTTTTCTTTAAAAAGGAAAAAACGCCGGAGAGCATAAAGTTTAATTAAGCCCCACGGAGGGCTGGCGGAATGCGAGGGTGGCTCTCCTCACCTGGCACCCTCTGTTGCAGGAAACGGACGGCAGGAAGGGCCGGACCCCGAGCCCCGCACCCCGAGCCCCGCACCCCGAGCCCGAGCCCGAGCGCCCGCGGCCTCACCTTCTGCGCCGCGCTCTGCTGCAGCACGTTCTGCTCCACGGTCATGGCCTCCGCGGCGGCG